GGCGAAGCCGTGGGGCACCTCGTCCCACTCGTCGAAGCGGACGCCGGTGCCCAGCGAGTAGGTGCCCTCGGCGCAGGGCTTGCACGCCTGCGCCTTCATGTCCAGGAACTCGCCTGCCTTGCAGGAAAAAGCTGCCCACGTGCAACGAGGAAGGGTCAGGGCGGTCACCCCCTGCCCCCCTCAGCATTGCTTCAGCCTCATCACCCTCAGCTCCGCTTTTCGGGGTACTCCCCGCTAGCGGAGGTGCCCGGCTGGCTCTGGGATCCCCTGTCCCTGCGCGGCCCCCCCAAGCAGCAAGGCAAATCCCCCTTGATTTATCATTTTTGGCAACTCCCGCGGCACTTCCCTGCCTGACCACCAGCGAGCACCAGGCAGGCTGCGCCCCTCTGCCGAAGCCTGCTGCAGAGCCATGCCACCCGCCAAGGCTTGGGGAGGAATTGGGGGGGGGTTTCCATCCCCCTCGTCACACCCCAGCCCTCCCCGTGACGAGCTGACAGCGCTAACGAGCGTTTACTGCTGCCGCGCAGGCAGGGCCCGTCGCTGCCTTTGAAGGCACGGCGCAGCGCCGGAGCTGACGGAAAGCTGCGCTTCGTCTTGCTGCTCTTCCCCCCATCTTTGCCCTCATTTCCCACCCCTGCCTTTCCCACCCCCCCCCCATTCTCCCCCCCCCAACCTTACAGCACTCGGTGCCCTTGATGGGGTCCGGCAGGCCGGTGCACAGTCCCGGCGTGTGTGGCACAGCCACCCTCCACCGCGAGCCCGTGCTGTCGCACGCCGTGTACTCATAGTGATACTCGGACTGGAAGAGAAAACGCACATGGAGAGCTGCAGCCCCCAGACCCCCGGAGCGCTCCCCACCCTGAGAGGCTGCCCCCCCGGCCACTTTTTGAATTGGTATTTTTGTTTTAAGCAGTCGCAATGTCCCGCAGCGCCCAGTCCCTCGGCTCGGCCAGGCTGCTCAGCCCCAGCCCGGGACCGACCTGTGCAGGGGGAGAGGATGCTGTGGGTGGGGGGGGTGCTGTGGGCGGGGGGGGGTGCTCAGAGTGGGGTTGCTCAGGGTGAGGGGATGCTGGGGACCATAGAGATGCTCAGGGTGGGGGATGCTTAGGGTGGGGGGATTCTGGGGACCATGGAGATGCTGAGGGGTGGAGGGGGATGTTGAGGGTGGGATTTTAGGTAGGATGACCCCCCCACCACCACCACCACCCACCCCCCAGGACATCTCCCCGTGGGATGCCAAACCCCAGGGAGGGCCGTGGGGTCACCCAGGCCACGTGCACGTACCCAGCACCTCCCTGACCACCCCATGGGATCAGACAGCCCTGGCGCAGCGTAAGCACCCGGCACTGCCGCCCCCTCCCCGGGCAGGGGGGGGGGGGGGGCTTAAACCCCACCACCACCACCACCACCAGCCCGAGCGCCGGCGAGCAGGTGGCACCGTCCCCGGCACAGCACCGTTTGCTTTGGCGCGGCCCGAGCGCGGCCACACGTGTTGCTCATTAAACAGACTCCTCAGCGCGACCCGGATGCACCGCGGTGCCGGGGCCGGGGAGGGGACACACACACATGACAGCCAGCCCCACGACACCCACCCTGCCACGGGCACCCCTGGGCAGCGCTACCGGCTGGGTGCCGGAGCAGGGTGCAGCCAGGAGGGAAGGGGAAGGGCTGGGGAAAACGGGGCACTGTGACCCCCCCTTCTTGTGCCACCAGCTGCTTCCAAGCCGGGACTGGCTCAAGGCCGGCGACGCCGGGGGCAGGCGAAGCGCAGCCGGAGCGGTTAATCTCCCGGGCAGGGCGAAGGCCGGGTCTGGCTGCTCCGTGGTTGATGCCAGCAAGGTGGGGTACTGGGGGGGGGGAGGGAGTGATGCCACAGCCCCCCCCAACACCCCCCCCCCCCCGCTGCCTCCACTGCGGCATCTCTGGGGTTTCGGAGCCGGGCGTTGTGGCTTCGTGCTCCCGGCAGACGCCGGAGCGTGGCGGGTTGGCAAGAAAACAAGGCTTTGATGTTCCCGTCAGCTGGAAACGGTGGCGATGGGGGGGAAAAGGGGGGACGGAGAGGGGAGAAGGCTCTGCCCGCAGCACCCCCCTGCCCGAGTACAGCCAGCACCGAGCACCCCCGCCACGGCCCCAGGATGGGGACACAGAGGTGGGTGCCCCCGCCACAGCCAGGACAGGGGTACCCACAGGGTCACCCCAGCTCTCAGCAGCCCCGAGCCCCCAGCACTGCTCTTGCTCCTGAGGGATTCCCTGGGAGAAAAAGGTGGGGTTTCCCTCTTCCCAAACTTTCCCCGCCCCTGGCACGGAGCTGAACGGCTGGGACAAGCGCTATTAATCCCTCCCCTTTGTAAAAGCTTTGAAATTGTTTTAAAAATCTAAATAAATCGACCTAATTCAGCCCCAGGGTGGCTCTGCAGCAGGAGGGGGGACCCAGGGGTGTCAGCACCACCCTGCTCCGGCCAGGGGAGGGAGAGGGTCTGTCCCCAGTGTGGGGGGGACAGGGACAGGGGACATCGCCTCTGTGGGAGCGAACCCTCCCGGGGACGGGTGCCAGCTGCAGTCTATTGTTTCCAGCTCCGGGCTGTAGAACACACACACACACACACACACACACACACACACACACACACAAAATTGGATCACGGCACAAAAAAAAAAAAAATTACTGGCCCAGATGAAAAGCAGCCGCAGGTCAGGGGGAACCGGGGGGCGGGAGCAGGTGAGGACCCCACGGAGGGAAATTTGGAAGCTGGCGGGGGGCTCGCCCCGGCCCCGCTGTCGCCGAGCTGGCTGGATCCCGACGAGAGGCAGAGCCCCCCCGGTTTCTCCTCGCAGGACATTTCGTCCCCACGTGCCAGGCTGGGAACGGCACGCGGCCGCTGGGGACGTGTGTGTGTCCCCCCCCCACTGCTGTCACCACCCCCCAGCAGCGCTCGCACCCCGGCGAGGGTTTGGGGACACCCCAACGGGGTCAGCAGGTGACCGGGACGTGGGGCTGGGGGTGGCTCCAGGGACCCCCAGGATGATCCCAGTCTCGGGGTGTCCCCGAGGAGACCCCCAACAGCAAAACCACCCCCCCTCCCCTTTTACCCACCCCAATACTCCCCCTCCCTATAGGGGACCCCACTTACACACACCCCCCACACCCCCCCCAGGCAGCAGTGCCCCGTCTATACGTTCCCTATAGGTGACAGACCCCAGGGGTGACACTGGGAGCCTCAGGGGATCCCCCCCATCCCATAGGGTCCAGCCCCGGATCCGCATTATGGGGATGGGTTTCATCTACCAGGAGGTACCGGTTGCCGGTTCCCCACCCCCCATTCTCCTCCCTCCCCCCCCCCCCCCCCCCCCCCCCCGCCATCTCCCGGTGCCGGTACCTCCTTGCAGACGTGCAGCCGCTCCCCGGTACGGCCCGGTGACACGGCGGTCGCCAGGCACAACGTCAGCAACACCCACCGGGCCGCGGTGCCGGTGCCGGTACCGGCCATGGCGCAGCGGCAGCGATCGGCCCCGCGCGGGTACCGGCCCCGCGGCCCCGCCCCCCGCCAACGGCCCGGCCCCGCGCGCGCACCTGCCGCCACCTGCCCCCGCCCCCGGGAACGGGAACGGCACCGGGAACGGCACCCCCGGCACCTGCCCCCGCCCACGGCACCGGGAACGGCACCGGCCCCCCGGGAACAGCACTGCGAACGGGAACAGCCACCCCGGCCCCCCGGGAACGGCACTGGCGCCGGCCCCCCGCCACCTGCCCCCGCCCCCGGGAACGGCACCGGCACCCCGGGAAAGGCACGGGGTAACACGCCCCCCCCCCCCCGCACCGGCCCCGGGAGCGTATCCCCGTGCAAAGGCACGGTGGCTCCCCCCACCCCGGCTCCGGTAACGGCCGCTCCTCCCGGACACCCCCCGCCCCAGGGTGTTGGGGGTCACGGCTACCCCCGAGCCCCGAAGCCGCCCCCACGCCACGCCCACGGGAGTGGGGGGGGGTGTCCCCGTGTCCCGTGTATGTGTGTCCCCCGCGGAGCTGGGTCAGCCCCGGCAAGGAGTCGGTGCACCGGGGGGAGGGGGAGCCGGGGGGGGGGGGTGGGGGCGGACACGGGACACACACACACACACACACACACACACACACACACGGCTGCGTGTTCTGGGCATGGGGGACACGAGGGATCATGGGGCCACGGGGGACACAGGGAATATGGGGACACGGGAGACACAGGGGATGTGGGAGACACGGGGGACACAGGGGATGTGGGGGACATGAGGGACGTGAGGGACACGGGGGACACGGGGGATGTGGGGGGACATGAGGATGTAGGGGACACGGAGAACGTGGGGGATACAGGGGACACAAGGTACACGTGACATGGTGGCCGTGGGGTACACAGGGGATGTGGGGGACACGGCCATGGTGGCACAGGGACGCTGGTGTGCACCGTGGGGACAGGGGACACTGGGGACACGGCTCCCTCTGTGGTGGCAGAGGGACACTAGCGTGTGCCGTGGGGACGAGGCGACACGCCTGCCCCCACGGCGGCACAGGGACACACGGTGTCATGGGATGGTGTCACAGGGTCCCCCCACCCGCAGGGTCCCCACAGTGGCCACCCCGGTGGCTCCGTGGGGTGGTGCTGGCACCGGGGCTGTCCCCTGGTCACCGCCAGCTGCCAACGAACCACCGAGCGCAACCGGTGGGTGTCACCTGTGGGTGCCCCAGGGGTGAGGGGGGCAGGATGCGAACAGCCTCCTGCCGGGCCCCAGCACCACGCGTGGCTCTGGCACGCCCTGTGCCGCCCCGTGGGACGCCCGCGGGCGGGGCCTGTGTAACCCACGGAGGCCGCGCAGGGCTGGCGAAGCTCCCACGCGCAGCACGGAGCTCACGGGGCCCGCTGCACAGCCGTTGCACGCCGCGGGGCTCGGTGCGGAGCTCCCACGCGTGGCGCGGCGCCGGCAGGGCCGGGGCGGGGGAGCTCCGGGTCCCGCTCCCACGCGTGGCGCGGCGGCGGGTCAGAATCGCAGGGCGCTCAGCGGCCGCGGCCTCGCCTATCTGATCGACTCATCCCGCCCGCCGCCGGCCGCCGCACAGCGCCCGTGGGCCGCGCCCGTGGGCCGCGCCCGTGGGCTTCGCGGCGCCGCTTTTCTCACCTCGGCCCGGCCCGGCCCGGCCGATCGAATAAGATCAACGTGTAGGGGGGGACACACGGACACTGCGCGCGCCTCGCACGCCCACACACCCACACACACACCCACACACACACACACACACACACACCCACGGGCCTCCCACGCGCCTCGCACACGCACACGCGCCCCACGGCCTCTCCGCGCCGCCGCCGCCCCCCGCCCGCCCGCGCCCCGCGCCGCCATTTTATAGCGCGGCCGCGCGGGGGACGACGGGAAGAGGCGGCGCGGGACACGCCCCGATCCAGCGCGCCCCCTGGCGGCGGGAGGACCCGGCCCCGCACACACGGACACACACGCGTGTACACGCACATGTGCACACGTACACGGACGTGTAAACACATATATACACCCACGTACACACACATACACATACATGTACACACATGTACAGACGCGTGTGTAAACACGTGCACACATACATGTACACACACATACACAGGTACACATATGCACACACATAAACACACCTGTACACACTTATACACACGCACATGTGCACATGTACACGGATGTGTAAACAGATATATACACCCACGTACACACACATACACAAGTATACATGTACACACACATATGTAAACACACGTGCACACATACATGTATACAAACGTGTACACACACGTACACAGGTATATACACATATACACACACACAAACACACCTGTACACACTTATATACACACATGTACACAGTTACACATACAGTTACACACATACACATGCATACACACACATACATGTACACACAGATGTACACCACCCCACACACATGTACGCACAAGGTTCACCCCTACACACACAGAACCCACCCCCGCGTGCTTGTGCCACGCACACACGTGTGCACACAGCCTCCTTCCACCCCCCTGGGGTGCACACGCAGGCGTGTGTGTACCCACCCCCCCGTGTGTGCCCACCGCACACCCCACCCCATCACCCCCGGACACGCGTGTGCAGCCCCCCCCCCCCCCACCCCGAACGGAGCCATCGCCACCCCCAGGGGAGCCCCCACTTTATTTACACAGCACGGTCCAGCGTTCACAAACCTGGGGGGGGGGGGGGGAGGTGGGGGTGCTGTTACAAACCCCACAGGTATGGGGGGGGGGGGGGGGAGGGACCCGCCGCTGAGGGGATCCCCCCCTGGTGAGGAGGGGCCCTGCCAGGCCCCCCCAGAGGGGTTCGGGGGGGCCCACGGTCCCGCGGCGGTCGGCGTCGGGAGGAGGCGCTGACGGGGCTCGGCCGGGTCTCCCCCCCCGCAGCGGGGGGCCGGCACCCTGAGCCCCTCGCCCGGCCGGGAGCTCCCGTTTCCAACCGCTCACGGGTAGGTGGGTGGCACCCACAGCCCCGCCGAGGGGGCGCGGGTGGGCCGGGGTCTGCGGCCGGCGGGTCCCCGCGGGGTCACTTCACCACCAGGACGTAGAACGCCATGAGGACGCAGGAGATGGCCACGGCCACGTGCAGGCGGGTGCCGATGACGGCGGCTGCGGGTGGGGGGGGGACGGGACTGTGGGTGGGGGCAGGAGGTGCCCCGTGCTGGGGCAAGACCCTTGTGTCCCCATCCCGGACCCCCGTGTCCCCACCCCCCCATCCCCAACCCCCTTGTCCCCATCCCAGACCCCCCGCGTCCCCATCACAGTCCCCCCGTGTCCCCGTCCCACACCTGCTGTGTCCTGACCCCAGACCCCCCCCCGCCCATGTCCCCACCCCGCAGCCCCCGTGTCCCTGTCCCCATCCCGGGAATCCCCTGTCCCCATCCTGGATCCCCATGTCCCTGTGTCCCCATCCCAGACCCCCCTCCATATCCCCATCCCACACCCCCCCATGTCCCCATCCATGATCCCCATTTCCCAGTCCCCCCCGTGTCCCTGTCCTGAACCCCCATGTCCCCATCCCAGACCCCCCCTATGTCCCCATCCGTGATCCCCTGTCCCCATCCCGGACCCCCCATGCCCCTGTCCCAGAACACCATGTCCCGATCCTGGACCACCATGTCCCCATCCCGGGCATCCCCTGTCCCCATCCCAGACTCCCCATACCCCTATCCCAAACCCCTCACCCCCAATGTCCCCATCCTACAACGCCATGTCCCCATCCTGGACCCCCTCCTCATGTGTCCCTGTCCTGTACCCCCGTGTCCCCATCCCTGACCCCGCCCATGTCCCCATCCCAGACCCCCCCAAGTCCCCACTCGTGATCCCCATCTGTGATCCCCCATGTCCCCACATCCCCATCCCAGACCCCCCCCATGTCCCCACTCATGATCCCCATCTGTGATCCCCCATGTCCCCACATCCCCATCCCAGACCCCACCATGTCCCCACTCGTGATCCCCATCCGTGATCCCCCATGTCCCCACATCCCCATCCCAGACCCCCCCCATGTCCCCATCCCAGACCCCCCCGTCCCCACTCATGATCCCCATCTGTGATCCCCCATGGCCCCACATCCTCATCCCAGACCCCCCCCCATCCCCATCCCAGACCCCCCCCACGTCCCCATCCCAGACCTCCCCCACGTCCCCATCCCAGACCCCCCCCCATGTCCCCATCCCAGACCCCCCCACGTCCCCATCCCAGACCCCCCCACGTCCCCATCCCAGACCCCCCCCACGTCCCCATCCCAGACCCCACCATGTCCCCACTCGTGATCCCCATCTGTGATCCCCCATGTCCCCACATCCTCATCCCAGACCCCCCCCACGTCCCCATCCCAGACCCCCCCCACATCCCCATCCCAGACCCCCCCCCGTCCCCATCCCAGACCCCGCCATGTGCCCACTCGTGATCCCCCACGTCCCCATCCCAGACCCCGCCATGTGCCCACTCGTGATCCCCCACGTCCCCATCCCAGACCCCCCCACATCCCCATCCCAGACCCCCCCCCCATGTCCCCATCCCAGACCCCCCCACGTCCCCATCCCAGACCCCCCCACGTCCCCATCCCAGACCCCCCACGTCCCCATCCCGTGCCCCCCCCGCCCCCCGTACCCTTGTAGAGGACCCCCCAGATGCCCCGTTTCTCGCCGAGCAGCCAGGCCCTGGCGCGCGGGACCTTCCGCAGGTAGGCGCAGGTGCACACCAGGAGCAGCGCGAACACCAGCAGCCCGTCCAGCGAGTACACTGCGGGGGGGGGCCGGGCTGCCACGGACCCCCCATGCCAAGCCCCCCCCCCCCCCAAAAAAGGGGGACCCACACCTCCCAGTGGCCCCTCAAAAAAGGGGGACTCAGACCTCCTAGTTCGCCACCCCCCCTCCAAGGGGACCCTGGCCCCCCAGCTCCACCCCCCCCCAAAAAAAGGGAGACCCACATGTCCCAGCTCCCCCCCAAAAAAGGGGGACCCAAACCACCTAGTTCCCCGCCCCCAGTGGGACCCCAGCCCCTCAGCTCTTCCCCCCCCCCCCCAAAAGGGGGACCCTAATTTTCCAGCTCCCCTCACCCTCCCACAAAGACACTCCGGCCTCCCAGCTGCCCCCTCCAACGAGACCCAGGCCCCTCAGCTCCGCCCCCCCCCCCCCCCCCAAAAAAAGGGGGACCCCAGTCTCCCAGCCACCCCCCCCCTCAAAAAAAGGGGGACCCGAACTTCCCAGCCCCCCCCCCTTTCCCAAAAAGGGGGACCCAGCCCTCCCAGTTCCCTCCCCCCCACCCCCCAACGGGACCCCGGCCCCCAGCTCCCCCCCGCGAAGGGGCTCCCACCTCCCCCCTGAGTGACCGCCCACCCCTTGCTCGCCCCAAGGGACCCGAAGGTGTCCCGGCACCGCCCCCCGCCCCCCGTGGGACCCCCCCGCCCCTCACCGTTGGTCATGGCGGCGGCGGCGGCGGCGGCGGCGGCGGCGGGGCCCCCCCCCACCCCGGCCGGGCGCCTCTGCGCATGCGCGGGGGCTCCTTTTCCCTCTCCCCCCCTCCCCCTCCCGCAGCCAACGCGACACCGGAACCCGCAGGCACGGCCAATCGCGTGCCGATGGCGCCAGGCGCGGCCAGTCGTCGGCCAAACCGCCAGGAGGCTAAATCGAGCCGGCGTGCGGGAGCAGGCAGTCTCAATCGAGCGCCTGTGTGTGTGGGAGGGGGGGGGCAACACCAGTATCGCCCACTACTCCTGCCAGCCTCCTTGTACCCGGGCCTCGCTAACACCCAGTGCGCTCACCCCTGTGCACTCAGTCCCCATCCCAGTCCCCCCCATAAACCTGTCTCCCCAATGACCCCCAGTGCACCCAGTAACTCCCATAAACCCCAGTGTGCCCAGACCCCAACCCAGTATGCCAAAAACCCCGGCAATATCCCCCGTAATCCAGTGACACCAGTGCCCCCAGCAGACTCCAGTGACCCCAGTGGGACCAGTGTCCCTAGCAGTGACCGCAGGCGTGGTGACACCAGCTCTGTGCGGGACACATGTCACCGTCCCCTCCGCCCCGCCGGGGCTAATCCTGGGGATTAACGGTTTTTGCTGATGGGAGCGGGGCCACCGTCACTGTCACCGTCACCGGGGACCAGCCTGGCCCGGTTGAGCCAGCACCCATCCTGCATCCCTGCGTCCCCCCAGTCCCCTGGGCGCGGGGACAAGGGCCGCGGGCGGCGGGGGCATGGGACTGTCACAGAGCAAGAGGGTGAGTGGCAGCAGCTGGAGGCGACGTGGGGGACAGGGATGCCCCCTGAGCTCTGGGCTGAGCCCCCCGTCCCCCACGCTGGGGGTGGGAGGGGACGACGGGGACACCCCAAGACACGTCCCCAAGGCAGAAGTCTGGCTGTCCCCATGCTACCCCCAGCATTAAGCCTGGGGACCCCTCACCATCCTTAGGTTCCAGAGTTAACGTGGAGAATATCCATTCTCCTCTCCATCCCTTGCAGCCACCCACCACAGCCAGCCCCGAGCTCCCAGGGGGGAGGGACACCAGGGGGTGACTCGGTCCCCACGGGTGACAGCCATGGAGTGACAGAGGATGTCCAGCCCCACAGAACCCATGGCTGTGCCCCCTCCTGTGCTGGATGTGGGGGGGTGTGTGACGAGCAGGGACCTGGTGCTGTCCCCAGTCATGTCCCCAGCCCAGGGAGGACCCGGGGGCAGGGACCCACTGAGTGTCCCTCTCTGACCCCGCTCCTCGCCTTTGCCAGGGTGACAACAAAGCCCCGAGCAGCAGCACGGTGCCAGGTGGGTGCTGCCAGTGCCACGGCCCAGGGACATTGGGGAACCCAGGGACATTGGGGACCCCAGGGGTCATGGGGACCCCAGGGATGATGGGGACACCGGGGTGATGGGGACCCCAGGGACAATGGGGACCCCAGGGGTGATGGGGACCCCAGAGACAATGGGGACCCCAGGGACAATGGGGACCCCAGGCATGATGGGGACCCAATGGGTGGTGGGGACCTCAGGGATAATGAAGACCCCGAGGGATGATGGGGACACCAAGGGGTGGTGGGAGGACATGGCAACCATGGGGTGGCCTGAGGACAGGGACACTTGGACACAGGGATCCTGGAGGGTGCCAGGTGTTGGGGGACAGTGTGTAGGCACCCTGGGCTGTGACACCCCAAGACTGCTGGTGTCCAGGATTTCGCCCTGCGCTGGCATGTGGCTTTGGGTGAGGCAGCATCACCCCACTCCCCTGGTGACCCCGTCCCAGCTTGTCCCATCCCTCGTGGTGACCCCATACCCCCAATGACCCTCTTCCCAGTGACCCTCTCCCACTGGTGACCACGGCTGTCCTGGAGACCTCACGACCCCATCCCATAGTGACCCATCCCTTGGTGTCCCCATCCCCCGCTGAGCCCCACTACCCCTCCAGACGGTGACAGGAGCGATGTCCTCTCCCCTGCCATGGCCACTGATGGCCACGAGGGCCTCATCCAGCCCAGGAAGGTGCCAAACCCGATGCGGGAGTCCTGGAGCCACCGAGAGCTGCACCGGGAGCTGCTCTTCAGCCACAGCAGGTGAGTGGGGACGGGACCTGGGGTGTGGGGACGGGTGGGGGGTGGCCCTCTTGAAGTCCATCTGTCCATCCCTGCAGGGGGATCCTGCCCCGGCACAGGGCTGAGCTCCCGCGGGTGCTGGAGAACCGGCGGCTGAGGCAGCTGAGGGAGGAGCTGTGGGGACCCCCCCTCTGACCTGGAGCAGCAGCTGAGGAAACACCACCAGAGGCTTGAGGAGGTCTGTGCCATCCCTCTGTCCTCCGTCCGTCTGTCCCAGCCTTCCATCCCTACATCCAGATGAGCCTCTCCCGCCCTTACCTCACCACTCTCCATCCATCCATCCATCCATCCATCCATCCATCCATCCATCCATCCATCCATCCATCCCTCCATCCATCCCTCCCTCCATCCATCCCTCCCTCCATCCCTCCCTCCCTCCCTCCATCCATCCATCCATCCATCCATCCATCCATCCATCCATCCATCCATCCATCCATCCATCCATCCATCCATCCCTCCCTCCATCCATCCCTCCCTCCATCCCTCCATCCATCCATCCATCCCTCCCTCCATCCCTCCCTCCATCCATCCCTCCCTCCATCCATCCCTCCATCCATCCCTCCATCCATCCATCCATCCATCCATCCATCCATCCATCCATCCATCCATCCATCCATCCATCCATCCATCCATCCATCCATCCATCCATCCACCCATCCATCCATCCATCCATCCATCCATCCATCCATCCATCCATCCATCCATCCATCCATCCATCCCTCCCTCCCTCCATCCATCCCTCCCTCCATCCATCCATCCATCCCTCCCTCCATTCATCCCTCCCTCCATCCATCCCTCCCTCCATCCCTCCATCCATCCATCCATCCATCCATCCATCCATCCATCCATCCATCCATCCATCCATCCATCCATCCATCCATCCATCCATCCCTCCCTCCATCCATCCCTCCCTCCATCCATCCATCCATCCATCCACCCATCCATCCATCCATCCATCCATCCATCCATCCATCCATGTCTCCATCTGTCCATCCACCCTTCCCCGCATCCACCATCCGTCCTCCCACCCATCCACCCAACCTCCCTCCAGCTCCATCCATTCCTCATTGTCCCCCAAATTCAAGGGGTGGCTGCGGGAGGCCACACCATGGGGACAGCTGGAAGAGGCCAGGTCATGGGGACAGTTGGGTGACAGACGGGCTGTTGGGACAGTTGAGTTGAGCACTTGGGGGGTGCTCGAGGGAGGCTGTGTTGGAGCGATGGGTCGAGGGACGGTTGAGGGCGGCCGGATCATGGGGACGGCTGATGGAGCCTGGGTGGATGGGGACAGCCAAGGGGACCCAGACCAGGACCCACGGCCACCCCTCCTGGGCCCCACTTGCCACAGCATGAGTGGGAGGCAGCGGCGGGGCCAGATCCGGACCCTCACCCCGAGTTCCTGCTGGTGCAGGACAGCCTGAGGAAGATGAAGCTGGTGGAAACAGGTGCCTGGCAGACATGAGGAGGAGCCGGCCTGGCAGAGCGGGGGGGGCTGCTCCCCCGGGGACCCCCGCGGCGGCACACCGGGCTCCCCGCCATCCCCAGCACATCCCAGGGCTGGGAACAGCACCCGGCGCTGTCATACTGGGAGAGCTCGTGGTCGGGGGCGGGCGCGGGTACCGCCGCCTCGGCGTCCCCACAGCGGTGAGAACCAACACGCCAAGGGCTGGAATGAGCTGGCAGAGCCGGGGCAGCGCCAGGGGCGGTGCGGGGGGACGCGGCGGGCAACGGTCTCACCCCAACCTGCACCTGCTCCAGCTCTCTCTGAAAAAAAAAAAAAAAAAAAAAAAAAAAAAAAAGATAATAAAAGTTTTTCATCTGGTTTTCTTGATGCGAATGGGACAGGGATGGGGACAGCGATGGGGCGGCATGGGCTCGGGCTGACGCTGCGTGGTGGGGATGAAGGGTGGCCACGGTGGGAGAGCTGCAGGGTGGGCTGGTGGCCGGTGGCTCGGTTTGGTGGTGGTCCCACCAGCCCAGACGCAGGTTGGTGTCCACCCAAGGCCTTTCGCCATGACCTGGGGGTGCGGAGCCTTCTTCTACCCTCCCACTCTTCCTCTCCCCCCTCCTTTTTGGGGGTTTCTTTCTTCTCACTTTTTTTTTTTTTTTTTTTTTTTTCTGTTTCCAAAATTAAACATGCTTTACCTCCTGCCCCTTCCACCCTGCAGCCCTTGCCCTGTTGGAAAGGAAGTGCGAGATGCTTTTTTTGAGCAGATCTCAGATCAACAACCCAACCGCTGGGCGCGGCGAGCACCGCCCCGGGCACCGGAGAGGGCACCCGGCCACTGCCATGGCTCCCGAGGAGCTCGTTGGCTCGGCCGACTACGATTACCCACCGGTGACCAATGCGACGGGGAACTGGGAGGTCTCCTCCAGGTGGGAGATCTTCTTCACCACTGTCTTCATCCCTGTCCTCTACTCCTTCATCTTCCTCCTCGGCCTCGTGGGGAACCTCTTCGTCATCGTGCTGATGGGCAAGAAGAGCGGGGGCAAGAGGATGGTGGACACCTTTGTGCTGAACCTGGCGGTGGCCGATGTCATCTTTGTCTGCACCTTGCCCTTCTGGGTGGCAGCGGGGGCGCGGGGGAACCGCTGGCCGCTCGGCGAAGGGCTCTGCAAAGTCAGCAGCTATGTCATCGCCGTCAACCGCTGCTCCAGCATCCTCTTCCTCACCGCCCTCAGCGTGGAGCGCTACCTGGTCATCAGGAAGGTGCTGGACACCAAGGTGGTGGGTTCCCAGAGGCACGTCCGTGTCACCTGTGGCATCATCTGGACGGTGTCGCTCATCCTGGGCGCCCCGTCTCTGGTCTACCGGCGGCTGGATGGGGATGACTGCTGGGATGAAGATGGAGAGGGCTTCAGCCTGGCGATGGTCTTCCTCACCTTCCTCCTGCCCTTGGGGGTCATCTCCTTCTGTTACTGCTCCATCTACTGCCGGCTCCAGCGGCACGTCCGGCTGGGCAGGGGCGTCCGGCGTTCCCACCGTGCCATCGTCACCATCGTCGCAGCCTTCCTCTGCTCCTGGTTGCCCCTCAACGCCTGCAAGATTCTGCTCTTCTTCCTCGCCAAGGGGACGCTGGTCCTGTCCCAGGGGCAGGAGGTGGCCCTGAGGTGGGTGGTGGCCGGCAGCACCTGCCTGGCCTTTGTTAACAGCTGCGTCAACCCCCTCGTCTACGCCCTCATGGACGGTCGCTGCCGTCCCCGGTGTCCCCTCGGTCCCTGCGCGCTGGGGATGGGTCCTGCCGTGGCCGTCCCCTCCTCAGCCACCGATTCCAGCCTCCTCTTCGGTGGCTGGATCCGGACCAAGACCCCTCCCGGCCCCCGGCACAGGAGTGGGACCAAGCTCCCACCGGCACCGGGGGTGAGTCCCCCCTGCTCCTCCCCAGCGTCCCCGGGTGCCACCGCCGTCCCACCGGGGCCCCAGCCGTAACCGTCCCAGTGCGATTCCCGAGGGAGCTGCTGCTCCGTGATCCACCCCCAGCCTCGGCAGGATCGGGCCCCCAGGACAAACCCCTCCACCCCGTTGTCCCCCCCACCCCCCGTCCTGAGATGCTCATCAGAAGGGAACGGCTTCGGGAGCAGGAACCTGGTTTGCATCCCAGTTTAATCCTAATTAATACAAATTTAGCCTTATTGCTGACAGTATGTTTTAGTCTTTGAGCTGTTTCTACCACCCGCCGGGGGGAGAGGGGGGGGCTCAGTGCCAGCAGCTCTGCCTGGCACGGGGACACACTGAGAAAAAAAAACAAACCTTTTTATCTCCAACTCTGACTTTTTTCTTCAAATCCACCCTTTTTCGGTGCTGCTGGGATTCCCATCCCTGACCCCTTTGTGCTGCTGGGTGGCTGCAGCAAAGAGAGGGGTGCCCCCCACCCCGAAATCAGGGGGGGGACTCAGGGATGTCGGGAGGCTGTGGCTGGCGGGGAAGGTGCTGGGGAGTTTGTGGAGGTGCAGGGGCACCGCTGGTGCCTGCGGCTGGCTTTGCTGTCTGCACACTTGCAGCACCCCTCCTGCCCACAACCTGCCTGCACCCTGCCTGCACCCTGCCTGCACCCTGCCCGCACCCTGCCTGCACCCTGTCTGCACCCTGCCCGCACCCTGTCTGCACCCTGCCTGCACCCTGCCCGCACCCTGCCTGCACCCTGTCTGCACCCTGCCCGCACCCTGTCTGCACCCTGCCTGCACCCTGCCTGCACCCCTGGCCTGTGCCTGCCCTGTTTGCAGCTTTTCCTGCCTGCACCCTGCCTGCACCCTGCCTGCACCCTGCCCGCACCCTTCCTGCACCCTGCCCGCACCCTGCCTGCACCCTGCCTGCACCCTGCCCGCACCCTGCCTGCACCCTGCCTGCACCCTGCCTGCACCCTGCCTGCACCCCTGGCCTGTGCCTGCCCTGTTTGCAGCTTTTCCTGCCTGCACCCTGCCTGCACCCTGCCCGCACCCTGCCCGCACCCTGTCTGCACCCTGCCTGCACCCTGCCTGCACCCTGCCCGCACCCTGCCCGCACCCTGCCTGCACCCTGCCTGCACCCCTGGCCTGCACCCCTGGCCTGTGCCTGCCCTGTTTGCAGCTTTTCCTGCCTGCACCCTGCCTGCACCCTGCCTGCACCCTGCCCGCACCCTGCCCGCACCCTGCCTGCACCCTGCCTGCACCCTGCCCGCACCCTGCCCGCACCCTGCCTGCACCCCTGGCCTGTGCCTGCCCTGTTTGCAGCTTTTCCTGCCTGCACCCTGCCTGCACCCTGCCCGCACCCTGCCCGCACCCTGCCTGCACCCTGCCTGCACCCTGCCTGCACCCCTGGCCTGTGCCTGCCCTGTTTGCAGCTTTTCCTGCCTGCACCCTGCCTGCACCCTGCCCGCACCCTGCCTGCACCCTGCCTGCACCCTGCCTGCACCCCTGGCCTGTGCCTGCCCTGTTTGCAGCTTTTCCTGCCTGCACCCTGCCTGCACCCTGCCCGCACCCTGCCTGCACCCTGCCTGCACCCTGCCTGCACCCCTGGCCTGTGCCTGCCCTGTTTGCAGCTTTTCCTGCCTGCACCCTGCCTGCACCCTGCCCGCACCCTGCCCGCACCCTGCCTGCACCCTGCCCGCACCCTGCCTGCACCCTGCCTGCACCCTGCCCGCACCCTGCCTGCACCCATCTCCCCTGCCTGTACCTCTGCCACCCGCATGCTTGCTGCTCCTCCCCCACCTGCTGCTCTCGCCTGCCCTCACCCTGCCCTCTCGTCCCTGTCCCCGCGGGCTGTGGGACCGTCCCGTGGGGCTGAGACACACTTTCCACCACCTGCCCCACGCCGGCAGCGCAGGATGTGGCCGACTCGCCCGCGCCAGCCGCCCTGATTCATCTCACGCCGCACGGGCGGCCGCGGCAGTGCCGTTCCCACGGCCTGGCACTGCCCTGGCACTGCCCTGCTCTGCCCCGCGCCTGTCCCCTCCTGCGTGGGGACAGGGACAGGCTCCCTGCTCTGGGGGAGGGACGGTTTTGGGGCACCAACCCCAAGGGACAACCCCTGGCCATGGCAGGGATGGGGATGGTGTCCCTGCGCTTGCCTTGCCCCCGCGTGGCACCGGGGATGGAGCCTCCACCCGGCACTGTGCCGGGCTGTGCCACGCTCTGCCAGGTGGTGCCAGGCTGTGCCATGCCATAGCACACCAGACCGTGCTGTAATCCCAATGCCATGCCGTGCCATGCTCTGCCATGCCGTGCCATCCCCTTCCACGCCACACTGCACCACCCCACGCCATGCTGTACGGTGCCACCCCACCCCACCCAGTGCTGTCCCAGACCATGCCATACCACTCCATACCATGCCATACTGTGCCACACCATACCATACCATACCATACCATACCATACCATACCATACCATACCATACCATGCCATACCATGCCATACCACGCCATACCATGCCATACCATACTATACCATGCCATATTGTGCCATACCATGCCATACCATACCATGCCATACCACTCCATACTGTGCCATATCATGTCATGCCACCCCGTGCCATGTCATACTGTGCCATACTGTGCCATACAATGCCATACCATGCCATACTGTGCCACACCTTACCATACCACGCCATGCCATACCATGCCATCTCACACTGCCATACAATGCCATACCATACCATACCATACCACGCCATGCCATGCCATACCATGCCAGGATATACTGTGCCATCTCATACCATGCTAATCTGTGCCATGCCATGCTGTGCCATGACATGCCATACCATACCCTGCCATCTCATACCCTGCCATGCCATACCATGCCATACTGTGCCGTACCATGCCATACTGTGCCGTACCATGCCACAGCATGCCACGCCACACTCTTCCCTGCCATCCTGCGCCACCCCACACCGTACCCGGCCACGCTGCGCGGTGCTGTGCCGGGCAGGTGCTCAGGCCCTCGCCGCTGCCGCTGTCGCCGTCGCGGGGCGGAGGCCGGGGCGCGTGGGGCGGCGTGGGGCGGCGTGGGGCGGCGTGGGGCGGCGTGGGGCGCGGGTGCTGCCGGCGGCGGCGGCCGGGGAAGGTGTTGCTCACCCGCTCCTCCCCTCCACCTCAAGTCAAAACACGTCCCCGTGTCCCGGGCGCAGCAGAGCCGGCAGCGGCGGCGAGCGCCCAGGTAAGGCATCGCCTCCCGGCCCCGCTGCGGAACCCCCCCCTCCGGGACCACCTCCCCCCCCCACCTTTCCCTGCCTCAGTTTCCCCAAGCCGCTCCACGTCCCGCTGGGGGGAAACTGAGGCACGGCAGGCGCGAAACCAATGCAAAAACAAAGGTGGGGAAACCCCCCCTGCCGCGCTCCCACCCACTGCCCCCCACCACCGGCAAGAGCAGGGGGGTGCCGGGGTGCCCGGGGGGAGCCGCTTTCCCAGGGCTGGCGGCCGCCCCCACCCCAGGAGCCGCCTCCAGCCCAGACGGTAAAGAAAATCAAAACTGGGAGAGGCGCCCAGTGAAACCAGCTGGGGCAGGAGTGAGGGCCCCCCCGGCTCCCCCTCCCCCCCCCAGACGCACCCCGACCACCTTTGCCCCCGGGATGGGTCTCGTCCAGGCAACCCTGGCTGCCACGCACGTGTTTGCACACCTTTGTTTATCGTAGGACCTACAAGAAGGCAGGCAAAGCAAACACGGCCTCGCCTTCCTCCCCCGGCCGCCATCGCTGGAGCCGGCGGCCGGGAAGGACGGGGGTGATGCTGAGGGCTGGGGGGGGCTGGGGGGGGGGGGGGTGCACCCATGGGTGATGCCCGGGGGATGGCGTGGGGACAAGGCGTCTCCCCGCTGTCGCCCGTAGGGTCCCGTCCCGGCATGGGGGAGGTGAGCGACACCGACAGTGGGATCATGCTGCATTCGGGTGAGCACTGAGGGGGGTGTGTGCCTGTTATTTTTGGGGTGGGGGTGGTCTTGGGGTGCTCCCATCCCCCCACATGTGCTCATATAGATGTGCCCCCCCCCCCCCCCTCCCCGGGCTGAGAACGGGGCACTTCACCGCATGGGGTGGCCCTGGGGACACACAAAAGCTCCTTGAAGGGTGTGTGTGTGTGTGTGTGTTGGGGAAATGGGGGTTTCCCTGGTTTCGATGGGGGGGGGGGCACCCAAGCGTGGTGGCGGGGGGGGGGTGGGGGGGGGGGCGCCTGGTCTGGCGTTGACTCAGCCAGGTTTCACTCGGGGATGGCTGAGTCAGGGCGAAACCTTCCCCGTGTGTTTGTGCTCCCCCCCCCCCCGCACTGGGAAATCACGGCTGCCCCCCGGGGGAGCTGGAGCACCCATGGGTGCTGCTGGGGGTGGGTCACAGCTGCTTTTTGGGGGTTGAGGGGGGCAACCGAGGCAGGGAGGCTGGGGGAAGTGGCGCGGGGCGGGGGGGGGGGTCTGGGCGCATCTCAGCAGGCGTCTGCCCGCCCGTCCCTCCGTCCGTCCGTCCGTCCGTCCGTCCCCAGGCCCCGACAGCCCCGTGTCGCCCCTGAAGGCGCGGGCGCAGGCAGGGCGCAGGCAGCAGCAGGCGTTGGAGGCCCGGCTGGAGGGCTGCGTGCAGGAGCTGCAGCGGCTCTGCCTGCGCGAGGCGGTGAGCAGGGCCGGGGGGAAACACACACACACACACACACACACAAATGCACCCCCTCTGCCCGACACCCCCCCGACCTCCCCAGCAGCGGCTCAGTGTCCCCGCGATGTCCCCAGGAGCTGACGGGGACGCTGCCCCGCGAGTACCCCCTGAAAGCTGGCGAGAAGCCCCCCAAGGTCCGGCGCAGGATCGGTGCTGCCTTCAAGCTGGATGAGACCCTCGTCCTGCGCGGGGCGGTGAGGAGGGAGGGGGGGGGGTCCCCGGGGTGCAAGCGGGGGGGTGTGTGTGTGTGTGGGATCCCTGGGTCGGGCGGTGGGGACCCCTCTCCATCCCCTGCTGGGGATGCTCAAGCGTCACCCGGCGAGGTCACCGTCCCACGGGAGGAATTCATATCCCCGCTCCGCGAGCCAGCGGGCACGCGGGGTGGGTGGCAGCGGGTGGTGGGATGCTGAGCGTGTGTGTGTGTGTGTGTGTGTGTGTGTCCCACCCCCCCAACTCTGTCCCCAGGACCCACTGAGCGCCCTGGAGCGGGACCTGGCGCTGCAGCTGCAGATCGCCAAGGCCGCCCGGCGCCTCTGCCGCGAGGAGAACATCAGCAAGCGGCTCCGCAAGCGGCGGCAGACGGCGGCTCTGCTGGAGGAGCAGAAGCTGAAGGACCTGGAGAACGTCCTCAACCAGCGCCGGCTCCTGGCTGGCCACCGGCCGCTGCCCGCCGGCGGTGGAACCGGTGCTGCCGAGGGTGAGCCCCCCGCTCCCCGCTCCCCGCCTGCTGATGGCACGTTTTGGGGGGGGGGGTGGGGGTGGGGGGATGCTGGAGGTCAGAAATGGGTGCAGCTTGGTTGCGTGTCCCTGGGGAAGGCACCCCGATATGCCAGCCCTGAAGCGTGCACCCCCCAACCCCCCAAACCCCGTGACCGCATCCCGCTGGATGCACCCCGACATGCCATCCCCAGCGAATGCGCCCCAGTTCCCTATCCCTGGTGAATACACCCCCCCTGCATGCACCCCAATCCACCCCGATCTCCCATCCCTGATGAACGCACCCCCAGTCCTCCATCCCCGGTGCATGCACCCCAATATGCCATCCCTGGTCAATGCCCCCCAGACCTCCATCCCTGGTGAATGCAACTCCCTGGGTGCACCCCTACATGCCGTCCCTGGTGCGTGCCCCCCCAGTATGCTCTCCCTGTGAATGCACCCCAATCCCCCTCCCTCAGTGAAAGCACCCCGATACACTCTGCCTGACGGATGCGCCCTGGTGAACACACCCCAATACTTCATGCCTGTTGAACACACTCTCATGAGTGCACCCTGATACATGATTCCCAGTGAATGCACCCCAAAACTTCATCCCCGGTGATTGCACCCTGCTATGCCGCCCCCGATGATTGTACCCCCACGAATGCCCCCCAATACTTCATCCCTGGTACTTGCACCCTTGTGAATGCACCCCAAAACTTCATCCCCAGTGCGTGCACCCTGATACGTCACCCCTGCTGATTGTACCCCATGACTGCCCCCCCTCCCCCCCCCCAGCCCTGATCTGCCATCCCCCAGCGAGTGCACCCCGACAAGTGGCAGGATTTGGCTTGGCTGCCGTGTCCCCACCGAGGTGGCAGCAGGTCCCCGCTTGCCCCCGCACGTGCCTCTATCCCCGCCGCCCTCCCATCACCCCCCCCCCCACCTCAAGGATCGGGGACACGGTGGCGGTGGCTCCTTCCCTCCTGGTACCCCCAAACCTGCCCGGCACCCCTCCTCCTGCCCGGCCTGGGCAGGCTGGGAGCTGCCCGCAGTGCTCGGCAAAGCCGGCCCGGCCGGTACCGCCACCGTCCCGGAGCGTGTCGGGACAGGCGGCGTGGGAGAGGGGGAGCGGAGGCCTGCGGGGACGCGCTGGGTGGCGGCGGGTGCCGTGGGAGCATTTTGGCACCCAACGGCGGCCCCGGCACCGTTCTCACCCGGTCCCTGTCCCACAGAGCTCAGCGCCTCTGACGAGAGCTCCCTGTCGGACGCCGTCCTGCTGGAGGAGGGTAAGGGGGCTGCGGGGATTGGGGAGGGGGGTGTTGCTGCCCACCCCCCCCCCCCCCCCCCGCCGTGTCCCCTCCATCCCAACCCTCCGTCTGTCCCACAGAGGAGACGCAGCTGCTGGGACCTGCCTCCCCGCGGGGGTCCCCGTCCCCCAAGGAGCCCACTGAGGAGGAGGGGTTGGGGTCCCCGCCAGCCCCTCCCAGCCCCTGGCGGGAGACCAGCCTCGACAGACCCTACGAGAAGACCAAAAAACCCAGCGTCGACCCCCGGGATGGGGAAACCCGGGGCTCCCGGTGCTACCCCGGGGCCCCGCCGGCCACCCCCGCTGCGCCTGGCAGCCCCGACCCCGCGGCCTCGCCGGCGGCCAGGGCAGGGGACGTCCCTCCCTACCGCTTCGTCCCCATCAGGACCCTGGTGCTGTGCCGGCAGACAGGCTCCAGCGCTCCCAGCACCCCGGAGCCATCGGGCCGGCGGGGACAGTCCCAGTCCCTGAGGTATGTCCTGTGTGTGGGGAGGGGGGACAAGGGCTTCTGCAGGGGAGGACGGAGATAACCCCAAGGAGAGGCTGGGGATAAGACTATGGGGAGGATGGAGATAACCCTAGAGGAAGGTTGGAGCTAATCCTATGGGGAAGTTGGAGATAACCCCATGGGGAGGTTGGGGATAACCCCATGGGGAGGTTGGGGATAACCCCATGGGGAGGTTGGGGATAGCCCTATAGGGAGGTTTGAGATAACTCTATGCAGAGGTTGGGGATAACCCCATGGGGGAGGTTGGAGCTAATCCTATGTGGATGTTGTGGGATAACCCTATGGGGAGGTTGGGGATAACCCTATAGGGAAGTTGGAGTTAACCCCACGAGGAGGTTGGAGATAAACCTATGGGGAGGTTGGAGCTAATCCTATGGGGAGGTTGGGGATAACCCCATAGGGAAGTTGGAGGTATCCCCCTGGGGAGGATGGAGCTAACCCTATAGGGAGGATGAACATAAATCCATGGGGAGGAGGGTGGATCTAACCCCATGGGGAGGTTGCACCCTGCCCCCATGGGGTGCTCAGCCCCCCCGTGCCCCCCGGACCCCCTTTCCCCCAGCTCGCCCCGACTTTCGGGCGGGCGGCGAGGGGCAGGGTCCGTCTGCAGCCGCAGCCCTGGTGCCCGCAGGGTGGAGGCGTGCTGGCAGCCCGGCGAGCCGCGGGGCCGCAGTGCCGTACCCCGCCGGCGCCCCACGTACTACACGGTGACGGTGCCCACCTCCTGCATCCCGGCCCCCGGCCCCGCTTGCCGCTCCGGCTCCGACGACAGCATCTCCGACCTCTCCAGCATCTCCCACGCCACCTCCCCGGGCAGCAGCAGCCCCGACGTCTCCTTCCCACGCCCCCCGGTCCAGCAGCCCCTCGTCGAACCCAGTTATTACCCCCGGGGTGCTCACCGGTTCCTGCCACCCGCCGGCCCCCCGGCTTTCCTCTACGAGCAGGATCTGGCCCCGTTACGCTACCAACGCCTGGTGCCCTCGCACAGCCGCATCGTGCGCACCCCCTCGCTCAAGGACTACGCGCCAGCGGGGGGCCGGGGGCTCTCCAAGGCGGCCGTGACCGAGGAGCTCAAGTCGTGGCACCAGCGCGCCCGCCTGCGGGGTGCCCGTCCCCACTCCCTCGACCGACAAGGGGCCTTTCAGGGACCCCATGGTGGGACCACCAGGGACGTGCCCGTCACCCGTGGAGTCCTGCCGCGGGCTCAGGTAGGGTCTGGGGACCAGCTGGTGCAGGGACATGGGAGAGCGGGGGGGCACTGCTGTGCCCGTCCCCATATGGGGACCCCCTGGGTGCTGCCCTGCGGGTGGCTGGGTGACATGAGTTGTCACCCTGAGGTGGTTCAGGGACAAGGGGCTCTGGTGGGGTCCTATGAGGGTCCCCAGAGCAGGAGTGGGGTCCTGAGGGGGTCCATGGGGAAGAATTGGGGTCCCATGAGGGTTCTTGGGGCAGGACTGAGATCCAGTGAAGGTCCCTGGGGCAAGGACCAAGGTCGCAAGGGGGTCTTGGGGACAGGATCAAGGTCCTTCTGGGTCCTTTGGGGCAGGATCAGGTCCCTCTGAGGGTCCCTCTGGGCAGGTCCAGGGTCCCACAGGCCCGGCCTGGGGTCCCATGGGAGTCCCTGGGGCAGAAGCAGGATCCTAAGGGGGCTCCTGGGGCAGGACCAGGGTCCTGAGTGGGTCCTAGGGGGAGGGTTGGGGTCCCAAGGAGATCCCAGAGGAAGAATTTGGGCCCAATGAGGGTCCCTTGGGGCAAGAGCGGGCACCCCCCAGGGTCCCTGGAACAGGACCGGTGAAAGTCCCTTGGGAGAGGATCGGGTCCTAAGGGGGTCCCTGGGACAGGCCCAGGGTCCCAGAAGGGTCCCTAGGGCAGGATTGGGGTCCTGAGGGGGTCTCGCAGGCAGGACCAGGGTCTTGTGAGGGTCTTGGCCACAGGACCGTGGTCCCTCAAGGTCCTTTGGGGCAGGATGGGGACCCTCTGAGGGTCCCTCTGGGCAGGTCCTGAGTCCCATGAGCAGCACCCGGGTTCCCATGTGGGTCCCTAGGGCAGCACTGGGGTCCCCCTGGGCTAGGGGGGATCCTGCAGACATTTTGGGGGTCCCACCAGGACGGGTGCATGCAGTGCCGGGACGGCCGGTACCCGTGGCACAACCGGGGCCCACGCTGGGCAAGTGGGGACCTGCAGCCGTGCCCCCGCAAAACCCCACCCCCGAACCCCCGCCGTGGGACGTGCACCCTGGGGGGGGGCTGCCCCGGCGCAGGGCGGGGTGCCAGCACCCACGGGCTTCTCCCACGCAGGCGCCCCCAATCCACGTCCTGCGGCGCTCCCCGGACGGCGTGCCCGTGCAGGTCTACGTGCCTGAGAACGGCGAGATCGTCACACAAGTGTAAGCGTGGACACCCCCCCCCCCCCCCCCAACCTCCCCAAGCCCCCCTCCACCAACCCCCGGGGGGGGGGGGCCACAGCCTGGCTGGCCCAGGGACAGTGGAGACAAGGGTGCCTCACCTCCCCACCCCAGCGTGGCGACACGGGTGGGAGGTGCAGCCCCCCCCTCAAGCACCCCTGGGGTGCGTGGGGATGGGATGGCGTGGCTGGGGCTGGCCCCCCCACCCCCCCACCCCACCCCGTGTCCCCTCACTGTCACCGTGACCCCGACACTGATGATGACACCGCGATCCTCGATTCGGGTCTCTAATAAACATAGTTGTTGGGGTGCTCCTGTCCTCTCCAGCCCCTCAGGACGCGTCACCTCCACACCCAGCTCTGTCCCCTGCCCGCGTCCCCCAACCCCTGAATCCAGTGCTGGGTTGGCAGGGTCAGGATCGGGCCCCGGGGGGCCAGCTGTGCCCCTGTGGGCTTGGGATGGTGATGGGGTGCCCCCCGGCACCCAGTGAGCCCTTGGCCTGGCTGGGATGGGGGGGGCTGGGAAAAGGGGGTGATGGGGAGGGGAAGGGGTAGAGGGAAAGGATGAGGTACAGGGGTGCAGGGGAGGGATGAAGGGATGGGGAAGGGGTGCGGAGGGGTGGACAGGAGGGGTGCAGGGGAAGGGGTGCAAGGGTGGGTGAAGGGATGGGGGGGGTCCAGGGGGAGGGGAAATAAGGGGTGAAGAGGGAGGGGAAGGGGCACAGGGGAAGGGGAAATGATGGGGAGCAGGGGAGGGATGGGGGGGCAGGGGAAGGGGGAGCAGGGGCTGCGCAAGGCAGGGGTGCCGGGGGAGGGGTGCAGGGGGAGGGGAGGAAAGGGGTGCAGGGGGGAGGGGAAATAAGGGGTTCAGGGGAGGGGTGCAGGGGTGGGGAAGGAAAGGGGTGCAGGGGGAATAAGGGGTTCAAGGGGTGGGGAAATAAGGGATGCAGAGGCGGGGAAACAGGGGGTGCCGGGGAGGGGTGCGGGGGTGGGGAAGGGCAGTGCGGAGGGGACGGGCCGCCCGGCGGAGTCCCCCCCTCAGCAGCCCCGGCGGCGTCACCCCCCCCGCGGCGGGGGCGGGCGGGGACCGGGGCCGGTAGCTGCGGCGGGAGGTGCCGCCGCGGGGGGGCACCGGGCAGCGACCGAGCGCCGCCGGGCTGCGGCGTCACTGCGGGCCTGCGTACCGGGGCTGCACCGGCCCCGGGGCTCCACCGGCCCCAGCACCGGCCCCGGGTTCCCCGCTGGTGCCGCAGCACCGGGATCCCACCGGCCGCAGCCCCGCCGCCCCCCGGGCCCGGTGCCCCCCCCCGCAGCCGCCGCCCCCCCCCCCCCCCGCCCCCACCAGCCCGATCCCACCCGCCTCCGGGCAGCGCTGAGCGGGGGCACCGGGCCCGGCCCCGGGATGGGGCCCGGCGGCACCGGCAGCCGCTGGCCCCTGGCCGGGACCGTGCTGGTGGCTGTGGCCGCCTCGCTGGGTAAGACACACACCGGGGGGGTGTGGGGTGTGGGGTGTGGGGGGCGTGGGGCATCGCGGCGGCGGGGGATGGACACGCGGTGCCACGTCGGGGTGGGACCCGGTGCCGTGACCGTGACCTACGGCAGCACCCGGCGCCTTTGCACGGGGGTTCGGGGGTTGCTTGCATCAACGTGTCCCCCAGGGCCCTGCCTCCCCCCCCCCCCCCCCATCTTCCTCCCCCGTACCGCACCCCAGTTGCTCCTTTCGGGGTGTCCCCGAGCGCCCCGGAGCAGCGTGCACGGAGCCGGTGGCCGCTCGAGTCGCGGGGGGTTTGGGTGCTTCCCAGGCACGCAGCCAGTGCCTCAGTTTCCCCACTTGACTCTGAGCTGCTGTGGTTCCCTTGGGCGGTGAGTGAACCCCATATGAGACCCCTGAGAAGCTACTTGGAGCCAGTGGGAAGCGAGCTGGAAGCCCCCAGGGAAGGAACCCAACCCAAGCCCGGTGGCTTCCCGGCCGCTGTCCCCAGGCCTCGTCCCAGGGTTAATTCTCGGAGCGGAGGTGGCTCTGGCCAGAAATAGAGCTGGGAGGTGTCACTGGGGCATCTGGGCGGGCGGGGGGGGGGGGGGGGGGGGGGGGGCCCTGGGGGCTTGGTGAGATGGAGCAGAGTTCCAAAGGATGTGGGGCAGGATGGAGTGGGGACAGAGGGGGACACATGGGGTGGGATGGAGCAGGATCCAGGGGAATGTGCGGCAGGATGGACTAGAGTATGGGGGCGGACATGGGGGGCAGGATGGAGTGAGATATGGGGGGCAGGATGGAGTGGGGTGCAGGGGGATGTGGGAGCAGGATGGAGCAAGGTTTGGGGGGTACGTAGGGTCAGGGTGTAGGAGGGGACATGGGAACAGGATGAAGTGGGGTGCAGGGGGGCAGGATGGAGCAGGGTATGGGGGGACATGGAGCAGGGTATGGGGGGGCATGGGGCAGGGTATGGGGAGGCATGGAGCAGGGTATGGGGGGGGCATGGGGCAGGGTATGGGGGGGCATGGGGCAGGATGGGGTGGGGTGCAGGGGGGCAGGATGGAGCAGGGTATGGGGGGACATGGGGCAGGGTATGGGGGGGCATGGGGCAGGATGAAGTGGGGTGCAGGGGGGCAGGATGGAGCAGGGTATGGGGGGTATGTAGGGTCAGGGTGTAGGAGGGGACATGGGAACAGGATGAAGTGGGGTGCAGGGGGGCAGGATGGAGCAGGGTATGGGGGGACATGGAGCAGGGTATGGGGGGGCATGGGGCAGGGTATGGGGAGGCATGGAGCAGGGTATGGGGGGGCATGGGGCAGGGTATGGGGGGGCATGGGGCAGGATGGGGTGGGGTGCAGGGGGGCAGGATGGAGCAGGGTATGGGGGGACATGGGGCAGGGTATGGGGGGGCATGGGGCAGGATGAAGTGGGGTGCAGGGGGGCAGGATGGAGCAGGGTACGGGGGGGCATGGGGCAGGATGAAGTGGGGTGCAGGGGGGCATGGAGCAGGGTATGGGGGGGCATGGGGCAGGATGGGGTGGGGTGCAGGGGGGCAGGATGGGGCAGGGTATGGGGGGGCATGGGGCAGGATGGGGTGGGGTGCAGGGGGGCAGGATGGGGCAGGGTATGGGGGGGCATGGGGCAGGATGGGGTGGGGTGCAGGGGGGCAGGATGGGGCAGGGTATGGGGGGGCATGGGGCAGGATGGGGTGGGGTACAGGGAGGGGGGGGTATATGGGGACAGAATGCAGTGGGGTACAGGCTGTTCCCCTGAGAGAGCATTTGGAGAACAGAACGAGCTGATGCTGGCACCCCGGGGGGGTGGCGGTGGCCTGAGGCCCCGGTGACAGGCGGCTCTCCCCAGCGGCGGGGGGCGAGGACTGCCTGTGGTACGTGGACAGGAACGGCTCCTGGCACCCCGGCTTCGACTGCGAGTTCTTCACCTTCTGCTGCGGCACGTGCCACCAGCGGTACTGCTGCCGCGACCCCCTGCGCCTGCTCACCGAGCGCCAGCAGCGCCACTGCCTCGCCTTCAGGTGCTGGGTGCTGGGCACGGGTGCTGAGCCTCAGCTTTGGGCGCTGGGTGCTTGCCTTTGGGTGCTGGGGCCTGGATGCTGGGTGCTGGATACAGGCTGCTGGGCGCCGGGTGCTGGACACTGGTACTGGGTGCTGGGCATTGGGTGCTTGTCACTAATACTGGGTGCTTGTCCCTAATACTGGGTGCTTGTCCCTAATACTGGGTGCTGGTCACTGGCACTGGGTGCTGGTCACTAATACTGGGTGCTGGTCACTGGCATTGGGTGCTGGGAAGTGGAACTGGGTGCTTGTCCCTAATACTGGGTGCTGGTCACTAATACTGGGTGCTGGTCACTAATACTGGGTGCTGGTCACTAATACTGGGTGCTGGTCACTGGCATTGGGTGCTGGGAAGTGGAACTGGGTGCTTGTCCCTAATACTGGGTGCTGGTCACTAATACTGGGTGCTGGTCACTAATACTGGGTGCTGGGCACTGGCACTGGGTGCTGGCACTGGGTGCTGGGCACTGGCACTGGGTGCTGGCACTGGGTGCTTGTCTGGACGTCCCTGTCCCTCTGGTGCCCAGGTAGGTGTTCCAAGGATGCCCCTCGCTGCTGGGGGCACTGGTGTGACTGGGGGTGTGGGGGGGTACACTGTGTGGGGGGGTTTGCCGGGTGCCCCCTGCCAGGCCCCGCTCCCCCACGCCCTCGCCGTGTCCCGCAGCCCCAAGACCATCGCGGGCATCGCCTCGGCCGTGGTGCTCTTCATCGCCATCGTCACCACCATCGTCTGCTGCTTCATGTGCTCCTGCTGCTACCTGTACCAGCGCCGGCAGCACCTCCGCACCCCACTGCAAGGTGGGGGGCTTGGGGTGCAGGGTGGGGGCCCGCAGGGATGGGGGGGGTGGGATGCAGGAGGAGAGGGGGGGGTATAGGAGGGGTCCTGTAGGTACAGGCGGGGTGGATTTGGGAGGGCGAGGTGGGGGGGGATGGGGGGCCAAGGTGCAGGGAGGGATTTGGGTGCTGGGGGAGGGTGCTGGAGCAGGGGCTGCTGACATCACCCCGGTGCCCACCGCCCCCCCTTTCCCCCCCCCCCCCCCTCCCTGAGGGGCACAGACACCCGCAGGCACCGCTGGGCTCTGTCCCTGTCCCCGTGCCGGGGTGCCACAACCTCCAACCTGTCTCTCCCGCAGGCCCGGAGATCCCACTGTCCAACTACCCCCCCGTGCCCCCCCCCGCCCCCTTCCCCATGGACACCAAAGCCGGCCCCATGCCCCCCCAGCCCGGCTTCGCCCCCATGGCCATGTACCCACCGGCTGGCCCCGCCGCCCAGTACCCGCTGTACCCCTCTGGCCCCCCCGGCTACAACCCCACAGGTGAGCACCAGGGCGGGGGGACACGGGACACCCCCCCCTATTCCCCAGGGGGGGGCACGGTGGCCTTACGGGGGGCTGACACACCACCCTGCTCCCCCCACAGCACCTCCACCCTACGTCCCAGCACAGCCCAGCTACCCCGGAGCCTGAGCACCCACGGGGACCCCAGCACCCTCCTCCTGCCGCCGGCCAGTGGGGCCGGGCTGGGGACCCCCATCCCCCCGCCACAGGACCGGGAGGGTGCCCCGGCCATGGCCGGATCGGGCCCTTCCCGGCCACCCCGGGGATGACCCCGTGCCAGCAGCACAGGGCGGCTCTTGTCCCGCACACTGGGCCCTTTGTGGGTGCCTCCGCCCCGGCTCCGGGTGCCAACGGCCCTGTTGCACCCATGGGGTGGGGGGTGTCCGGCGGGGGGGTCCCCTGAGGGCCGTGCATTGCTGCACCCCTGCATCCAGATTTGGCCCCCGCTCTCCCCCACCCCCTGGGGGTGGCATTAAACGATGTCTTGTGCCCCACACCCCGGTGTCGGTGTCTCTGTGGCTCTGTGCCCAGGGCGGGGGGCAGAGCCCCGTGGCCCTCCCAGGGGAGCTGTTGGGGGGGGCGGGGGGCTGTGACTTTCCCCCCCCCTTCCCCTTCCAGTCTCAGGGCTTCTCCATCCAAAAATTGGGCTGCGATGGGCAATTCCCACCAAACCGTCAGGATGAGCCCACACATGAGCGCTGCTGCCTGCCCAGTCCCCACTGCTCAAAATTGGGGCGCGAAACCGTCCCCAGCAGAATTTTGGGTCAGAAAGCAGCAAATTCAGCCCTGGGGTGGGGGGCTGTGGGCGCAAGGCCAGTTCCTCCATCCACCCCCACCCTGGTCCCGAAGCGCCAGAGCCGGGACCCGTCTCCCTTTGCATCTGGCACCGGGGGAGCGTGATTCACCCCGGCTATTTTGGACGGCTGCTTCCACATGATTCACCTCCCCGCCCCATCGCTGGGAGGGGGGTTCCAGCCACCGGATAAATTTGGAACCGCTGAGTCCACTGCTCCCGGCGGGGGAAAAGTGACACAGAGACACAGACCCCCCCCACCCTGCCCCATGGGACTGCGGGTCCCATTGCCCCCCAAAACCCCGCAGCAAGCCCAGGGAAGGGGGAAGTAGGGGGGCAGCTCTGAGTTTTATTTAAGTGGGATGGAGAGGGAGGGGGGGGAAAAAAAAAATAAAAATAAAGAAGCAAGGCGGGCACTGGGAGGGATGGGTGGGAAGTTGCTCCCAGCGCGGTCCCCGCCGGCCACGGGCGCACACAGCCAGCTGCGTGGGGGTCAGGGTTTGGGGACCGCCTGCTCCCGGAGGTAGAGGTCACGGATTTCGGCCAGGCTGCGGCTGAGGCCGCCCAGCGCCTGGGCGATGACGCGCAGGACGGAGGTGGTCTCCCGGCGGCTCTCGGCGTACTCCCGTCGGAACGCTCGCATCTCCTGCACCAGCCGTTCGTTCGACTGGACGATGCGTTTTTCGGCCGGGGTGAGCTGGGGGCAGTCGGGCGCCCCGTCCGACAGCCCCGTCGTGCCGGGGAGTCCCGGTTCGCCTGTGCCGCAGTTATTGAGATGCTCGGCCTCTTGCTCGAAGAGGATGCTCGGGAAATCGGAGCCCAGCGGCTCCTGCTGCCCGCCCAGGTTGCCGAGGGAGAGTTCGGGGGGCGCGGGGTGCGGGGGGCTCCGGCTCCAGCCCTCGCACAGCTCGCCGGGCGGGCGGATGCCGGGGCGGGGGAGCCGGCGCTCGGCGCCGCGGCCGGGGATGCTGTCGGCAGCCGGGCCATGGAAGGGCTCAGTCTTCACCTCCACCGGCTCCTCCTTCACCGCCTCCTCCTTGACGCCTGCGGGACAGAGGGAGAGCGTGGGGCAGCTGGCGGGACCCCCCGCACCCCACAGACCGAGCGACCCACCCCCCTTTTGCCTCTGCTTCCTCTCTCCCAGTTTCCCTTGTCCCCATCCCTGTACTCCCATGTCCCCTCTCCTGGTCCCATCTATACATACATATCCCCATCACCCCACGTCCTTCATCGTGGTCCAGCTCCATCCCATGTCGCTTGTCCCTCTCCTGGTCCCAGTACTCCCATATCCCTGTCCTGAATGTGATACCCCATGTCCCTGCATGGCCCCATCCTGGTCCCCCCCATGTCCCTTGTCCCTGTCCTGGTCCTGCCCATGTCACTGTCCCAATCCCATCATGTCCCTCTCCTGTTCCCAGCCCCCTCTTATCCCTGTCCTGATCCCAGTATCCCCTGTCCCTTGTCCCTGTCCTAATCCCAGTGGCCCATACCCCTGGCCTGATCTTGGTATCCTCCTGTCCCAATCCCAGTGCTGCTGTTCCTTGTCCCACCCTGGTCCATGTCCTTCCCTGTCCCAGCCCCACTGTCCCCATCCCTGTCCAGCTCTCAATCCCCTTCTGTTGCTGTCCCAGTGCCAGTTCCCTGTCCTGGTCCCCTGCCCCAGTGTGCTGTCCCTTGTCCCTGTCCTGATTCCAGTGCCTCCTGTCCCTGGCCAGATCCTGGTATCCTCCTGTTCTGGTCCCAGTGTCTCTGTTGCTGTCCCAGTCTCCTGTGTCTCTGTCCTGGTCCTCCCATGTCCTTATCCCTGGTCCCCCCCCCACCGCTGTCCCCCCACATCCTGTCCCTCATGTCACTGTCCTTCTCCCCTGTGTTTATGTCCCCTCCATGTCCCTCTCCCGATCTCCCCAGTCCCAGTCCCTCCATGCACCTGTCCTGGTCCCAGTGTCCTGGTCCCGGTTTCTGCCAAATCCCGGTCCCAGTCGCGGTCCCCTCACGTCTGTGTCTCCATTCCAGTCCCCCCACATCCCTGCCCTGTTCCCCTGTTTCTGCGTCTCTGTCCTGGTTCCCCCTGTCCCTGCCCCAGTTCCTCCATGCACATGTCCTGGTCCCAGCAACCCCACGTCCCTGTCCCCCCACATCCCTGTCCCAGTCCTCCATATCCCCGCCCTGGGCCCCCAGGTCCCGGTCCCCCTGCATCCTGGTCCCCTGTGTCTGTGTCCTGGTCCCCCCATGTCCCAGTCCTTGTACCCCATGTCCCAGTCTCCCCACAAACCTGTCCTAGTCCTAGTGTCCCCATGTCCCCTGTATCCCCACTCCAGTCCTCCACGTCCCTGCCTTGGTCTCCTGTATCCATATCCTGGTCCCCCATGTCATGGTCCTAGTGTCTCTGTCCTGGTCCTGATCCCGTGTCCCTGTCCCAGTCCCTCCACACACCTGTCCTGGTCCCAGTGCCTTGGTCCTGGTCCCCTCCCACCGTGGTCCTGGTCCCCTGTGTCCCTGTCGCTGTACCTCCATGCACTTGTCCTGGTCCCCCATGTCCTGGTCCCAGTGCCCCCGTGTCTCTGTCCTGGTCACCCCACGTCCTGGTCCTGGTCCCAGTGTCCCCATGTTCCTGCTCCAGTCCCTCCACATCCCTGTCCTGTTCTCTTGCACCCATGTCCTGGTGTCCCCACATCCTGATCCTGGTCCCCCGTGTCCCTGCCCCTGTCCCTCCACGCTCCCATTCTGGTCCCAGCATCTCCGTGTCTCTGCCCCAGTCTCCCGTGTCCCTGTCCTGGTCTCCCTTGTCCGTGTCCTGGTCCCCTGTGTCCGTGTCTGGACCCCCCCACGCCCCTGTCCCGGTCCCCCCCCTGTCCCTTGTCCCGGTCCCCTTTGCCCCTGTTCCAGCCCCTCGTGTCCAAGCCCGGGCCGCCCCCACGCCCCTGTCTCGGTCCCCCGTGTCCATGTCTTGCTCTCCCCCCCGTCCCTGTCCCTGTCCCGGCCCCCCCACGCCCCTGTCCCGGCCTCCCCACGCCCCTGTCTCGGTCCCCCGTGTCCATGTCTTGCTCTCCCCCCCCATCCCTGTCCCTGTCCCGGCCCCCCCACGCCCCTGTCTCGGTCCCCCGTGTCCATGTCTTGCTCTCCCCCCCGTCCCTGTCCCTGTCCCGGCCCCCCCACACCCCTGTCCCGGCCCCCCCACGCCCCTGTCTCGGTCCCCCGTGTCCATGTCTTGCTCTCCCCCCCATCCCTGTCCCTGTCCCGGCCCCCCCACACCCCTGTCCCGGCCCCCCCACGCCCCTGTCTCGGTCCCCCGTGTCCATGTCTTGCTCTCCCCCCCGTCCCTGTCCCTGTCCCGGCCCCCCCACGCCCCTGTCTCGGTCCCCCGTGTCCATGTCTTGCTCTCCCCCCCATCCCTGTCCCTGTCCCGGCCCCCCCACACCCCTGTCCCGGCCCCCCCACGCCCCTGTCTCGGTCCCCCGTGTCCATGTCTTGCTCTCCCCCCCGTCCCTGTCCCTGTCCCGGCCCCCCCACGCCCCTGTCTCGGTCCCCCGTGTCCATGTCTTGCTCTCCCCCCCATCCCTGTCCCTGTCCCGGCCCCCCCACACCCCTGTCCCGGCCCCCCCACGCCCCTGTCTCGGTCCCCCGTGTCCATGTCTTGCTCTCCCCCCGTCCCTGTCCCGGTCCCCCGTGTCCGTGTCCCTCTCCCCACCCCGCGCACCCACCGTGCGGTGCCACCACCTCGACGCTGAGCGCCGGCGGGTCGGTGCCGGCGGGGCCGCGCTGTCCCCAACCGGGAGCGGGCCCGGGGCCGAGCTCCGGCGGGCCCGGCCCGGAACCGTTCCCGTTCCCGCTCCCGCTCCCGTTGCCGTTGCCGTTCCCGGCTCTACCGGCGGGCCGGGCGGCCGGCCCCTGCCTCTCCTGCCGGTGCCGGGTGATTTTATCGTTGGCCCGGCGGCGCAGCCCCCGCCACCGGTTTTTCACCTCGCCGATGTCGCGCTGGTTGCGGCCGGCGGCGTTGATCTTGTTGGTGATGCGCCACCAGATCTTCTGCTTCTCGTAGGCGTTGACGGTGCTGGCGGCGGCGCCGAAGAGCAGCTGCTCGTACTTGAGCACCTCGCTCATCAGGATGTCGATCTCCTGCAGCGTGAAGTTCGGCTTCCGCTTCAGCAGCCCCCGCCGCGCCCCGCCGCCGCCGCCGCCGCCGCCCGCCGCCATGCTCGCCGCCGCCGCCGCCGCCTCCTCATGGCGCCGCCCCGCCGCCCATCGCCCCGCCGCCGCGCCTTTTGTCCCGCGATACCGACCGCCGAGCCGAGCGGGGCCGACGGCTCCGACACCCCCCCCCCCCCCCCGCCCCGGGCTCCGTTCCCCCCCCCCCCCCCCCCCCCCCTCCTCTTCCGCGCCGCTCCGTGACGGCGGCGCCGCCCCCTGCCGGCCCCGGTTGGGTATAGCGCCCCCTGCCGACTCACGCTGGGCACGCTCCGGGGATCCGGCCGGTTCGCCGTCACCGGGGGAGCCGCTCGCTCCCGGGTGTCCCCACGGCCCCGCGGTGCTCGGTTGGGTGTCCCCGCACCGGGGGGGGGGGGGGGGGGGGGCAGGGCACCCACGGGGTTCACACACACCCCCCCCCCCCGGTTCCTCCCGGGGAGCCGTGCGGGGTCAGGGGACCGCCCGCCCCGCTCCCCCCGGCCGCGCTGGCCGCCCACCGGGGATGAAGCGTTGCCCTCCTGCAAAATGCCCAAATAAAGGTATTTCGCCCGGTTTTGGGCCCCGCGGATCGGCCTCGCAAACCGGGCCCGTGGCGCGGTTCCCGAGCCAGCCGGGGAGCAACCCCCCCCCGGGTATCCGCCCGCACCCCGAAACCGGCCCTGGCACCGGGAGCCTTGGCGAGCCCCCGGCCCAGTCCTGGGTGACCCCGGGGGGGGGGGGTTGGGGTGACCCTGGGGTGGCCCCAGGGTGCCCAGTCCTGGGTGATCCCGGGCATTTGGGCTGACCCTGGGGGTTTGGGGGGCTCTGTGTGGCTCTGGGGTGCCCGCTTGTGGGTGTCCAGCAACCACAGGGTGCCCCCGTTTAGGGCGGGGGGGGGGGGGGGGGCTCTGGGTGGGTGGGTGACCATGGACACCCATGTTGGTGTCCATGGGTGCCCAGTTTGGGGTGGCTGCATAGTTCGGGGTGACCCCAGTGCATCCAGTTCAGGTGGGCCTGTGGGTGCTGGGAGAGGTGTGTGTGTGTGTGTGGGGGCCTGAGCCCATTTCCAACAGAGGCCCACGCCCCCCCCCCCCCCGCCGTGGCCCCCCTCGTGGGGACCCCGGGGTGCAGACCCATCCCCGAGGCGGGGGAAGCGCTGGCTGAGCTTTATTGCTGATGCAGTGGCTGCAGTTGTACAAATCGCGAAGGTGCGCGGGGCTGGTGGGGTGGGGGGGGGGCGTGTGGGTGGGTGTGAGTGGGGGGCATCGCGTGGCCCCAAAACCCGCTTTGGAGGGGGGCAGGCAGTGGTCCCTGCCCGGTCCCATGCCCACGGGTGGCAGCGTGGGCAGGGCTGCTGGTGGCACTGGCAGCACGTCACCCCCTTTGATCTTGTCCCCCCCCGCCCCAGGGGAACCCACCCCCCGGGCCAGCCCTGCTCCCCGCCCCCCGGGGAGGATTTGGTTTCTGCACGGGGAGAGGGGGGTAGGTGGGGTGTCAAGAAGGGGGGAAAAAAACCTTGGGCTGAAAAAATGAACTTCAAAAATATGCTCCTGGCTGGGCCGGGCTGTGGCATGAAGCACCTGGGGGGCTGCAGGTACATGTGCCCTGTCCCCACCTCCTGCCCTGCCCCCCCCCCCCCCCCCCCCCCCCCCCCAGCCTCTCCCTTCTCTGACCCCTGTGATTCCCCCCGACGTCGAGCCTGCACCCCGCGAGCTGGCACCCCACCACGGCACCTGCACCCCGTAACTCCCCCGGCCACCCGGAGACCCCGGAGGGGAGGGAGCCATGACGATGGTCTGGCTGCCCCCTGCCCCTCCGAAAAGCGAGGCTGGGAGGGTACCTCTGCTCGCCCCATGTTGGGCCACCTCGGGGGCCCCGTGGGCAAGCCAGGATGGAGGGTATCAAGCCCCTTCTGTGCGCTCCGGGGGGAGTTTTCCGTAAGGACTGGCTCTGCAGACCCCTCCTCTATCCTCAGCATCTTTGGCAGCCGGACAGAGCGGGGCACGGTGCTGGCAAAAGAAAGAGCTTGAAGGCTTCACAACCATAAAAATAAATACAACGTCTTCCTCCCGCACTGCATCGAACGGCCGTGCTGGCCCTCCTCCGGCCCGGCCCTTCCTCCGTCTGTCCCAGAGAGATCGCTGCTCCTCGGTGTCGGTCACTGCAGGGTCCCAAAGGGCTTGTCATGGAAACAATCACGAGAAAGGCGAGTGTCCTGGGGTCTGCCACGCCGGGCTGCGGGGGGAAAGCCGTCCCGCTCCCTACTGCAGCAGCTTCGGTACCTCTACCTGCCGGAGAAGACACCCCGTTACTGGGGGGAGCGGGGAGCAAGGAAAGGGGGTGCTGGAATGGCCCGAGGGCCCCGTGTGGACCCGCCGTGGCGGAGCTGGGCCCCTCTCTCCGTTGCTCAGCGCTCCGGGGACATCTCTCCCTCTCGGCCAGGCTGGTTGTCCCCACGCTCCAGCTCGTGGGCAGCCCGGCCAGGGACACAAACCACCTGGGGCGAGTGAGATGCTTCAGGGCATCGTGGTGGGACCAGTGCTGGAGACGCAGCCTCTCCGGCCACCCTGGGCTACCTCCCGCCCCAGGGGGGTGGGCTCAGCCATGCCAACGCGGCAGCAAGAACTCGGGGAGCTGCTGCCCCTGGGGACCCGCTGCCCACATGCTCTTGCCCACTGGGACACTGGTCCCCGTGGGTGCGTGTCAGCCTCCCTCACTGCGGCGAAGCGCCGCTCCTTTGCATGGGGAGGTCCTGGATTTCCATCCCCTGGGGTTATAGGTTTTCCTGGTTTTCCATCCCAAATCTGACTGCTGGAATGAGGTGGATCTGCCCACCCCAAGGGCTCTGCCAAGGGATGGAGCTGCTGACCCCATCTGCTCCGCAAAGGATGGATCTGCCCACGCCATGAGCTCGGCAAAGGGATGGATCCACCCCTGCCACGTGCTCCACGCAGGGGTTGGGACCACGGACACCCCGCTCTGTGCCCCGCAGCGGAGAAGGGCAGCCCTCACGCCTCCGCTACCCAAGTGACAACAGACGTGACCTCGGATCTCAGCCCACGGACTAACCCCACGGCCGGACCCCGCCGCCGCCCCGCACTTGCCTTCTTGAGCTGTTTGAGGTTGCTGGAGCGGATGGCTGCCAGGAGCTGGTCCCGCGAGTTCTTCTCCTGGATCGGCAGCGCCCGGTCTCCCAACTTCCTCTGCGTGGCCGGCGAGAGCGAGTTCCTCAAGTTCTCGTTGATCAGCGGTGGGGCGAGCGGAGGAGGAGGTGGGGGCGGAGCGGCGGGCGCCCCCCCTTTCTTGGGAGAGCTTTTGGGGGAAGCCTTGGGGGACGGCTGTGGGGATGGCTTGGGGGACCCCTTTGGCAGGGCTCCGGGCTTGGGCACCTCCAGGAGGTCTTTCTTCTCCCCACGCTCCTGTGCCAGTTTCTGCTCCTGGAGGCGTTTCTGCCTCTGTTTGTCCATGTTTCGGCTCAGCAGGTTGGTGACTGTCATGCGTGGTCCGGCCAGCTCGAAGTGGTAGCCCAGCTTCAGGAGCGTGGTGTTTTCCTTCAGGAGCTTGGCGATCTCCATCTCCGTCTTCCCCCCGCAGATGTGCCGCTGGTTGTGGAAACGCAGCTCCGTCAGCGTGTTGTTCTGCAGCAGCGCCCGGAAAATGGCCAGGATGCCCTTGCCCGTGATGTGGTTGGAGTCCAGGTTGATGCTCGTCAGCACCTTGTTGGACTTCAGCATGATGGCGATGGCGAAGGCCACGTGGTCGTCGGCACGGGTGTTGGCCAGGGCGAACAGCTTGACCACAGTGTTGAACTCCAGGGCCTCGGTGAAGCGCACCAGGGTCTCGTTGTTGATGCAGTCCGAGTTGTTCACGTTCACTTCGGTGACCTCGGCGTCGTTGTTCTTCACCTTCTCGATGAGCTCATCAAAAATGCTGGAGGCTTCATCATCCTTGGCCTGATCTGAGGAGCTGCTGGTGGTGTGCTTGGAGGGGCTGCTCTCAGCTGCTGCCTTGGCCCCCCGTTTCTCCTCTGCTGCCTTTTCTGCCTCTGCCTGGGGTTTCTCCTTCTCGTCTGCCTTTGATTTTTTCAAAGCTGAATCCTTTTCCTCCTCTTTTTTGTCTTTTCCTTTCTTATCTTCTCCTTTTGTGTCTTTTTCTGCCTGTTTCTTTGTTCCTGAACTCTGCTCTTCCTCCTTTTTCTCCTTCCCTGTGCCCTTCTTCAATGATGAGCCCTTTTCTTCTTCCTTTTTGTCCTTCCCTGTCTCCTTCTTTGCTGCTGAGCCCTTCTCTTCTTCCTTTTTATCCTTCCCTGCATCCTTCTTTAAAGCTGAGCTCTTTTCTTCTTCTTTTTTATCCTTCCCTATATCCTTCTTTAAAGCTGAGCCCTTCTCATCCTCCTTTTTATCCTTCCCTGCATCCTTCTTTAAAGCTGAGTTCTTATCTTCTTTTTTGTCATTCCCTGTGTCCTTCTTCAACGCTGAGCCCTTCTCATCCTCTTTTTTGTCCTTTCCCATCAGCTTTTTCTCCATGGCCTTGACTTTATCATTGATAGCCTTCTCCTCTTTGGTCTTGGTCTCAGCGTCGGCTTTAACTTTTGGGTCTGTTTTCTGAACACTATCTTCCTTTTTAGAGTCTTTTCCCACTTTCATATCTCGTTTCCGGGCCAGGTCTTTGGAAGGAGCTTCCTTTCCCTTTTCTTCTTCATTCTTGGCTCCCTTATTCTTCTCACTCGATCTGCTTTCCTAACAAGAGAAAAACACCGAGGCGTTACAGAGACAGATGCCTCCGACCTCCAGACTTGCCAGCCCAGTCTCACTGTCACCAGCTCTGCACCTCTGTCACACAGGAGCAAGCACAGGGCCCCGTGGGGCAGCACCACGGCCGGGGAAGATGCACAGGAGGATGCAGGACAGGCTGGTCTCAGGAAGCTCTTAGACTACACCTGTGAGGGATGAGCTGCCCTAAACCAGGCATTTATGATAGAAACCTGGTGAGGAGCATCATGCAGGGTCCCCAGGAGGCAACAGGGAGGTGCCACGGGGGAGCCCGAGGACAGCCAGTGCCGGGTCT